AGCTGTGACTTGAGCATGCTACATGGTTTGAATAGAACTATAACAAACTACATTGAAAGACACCCAGCAGGCATCCAATAGATCCTTCAACTTGTATACCTGTCATTCACTGATGCCATTGTGCACATTTCCCAAATAGCTGCACTCCTCTGGACTTTTTCATCATTCCACAAAAACCTCTTGATCCTTTAAGATCACTTCAGCCCTGGAACTCATACCTTGTCAGCATGACACCCAACAGACTCCCTCTGTCCATGGGGTCCCCTCTCTCCCTCTGATTGGAAAGTGGAGAATGTTTATTGACTGACATATATGATCTACTCCAGCGACAACAGATATGCCCATGAAAGATGTAGTCAGGACCCATAGGTCTCTTGGGTTCTACACCTGCACATTTATATGGGTAATGGTCAATTATATCACCTTTGCAATTATTAACCTGCAATCATGGACCAGGGATATTCCCATCACATCGAAACCTGAGATGCTTATTCTCCAATGAATTCTGGCTGAGACCAAGTCCCATAAAGTGGGATAAGCTCAGAAGGCATCAATTATAAAATGGTAATGGTACATTCAAAGTTGAATGAAGCCTCATGAGTAAACTGCACAAGTTGGTGGCTAACCCAAGGCACTGGAAAATATGTGCCCAAAGTCAACCCACTGCTGTGCCTCTACCAATTTGGGATCCTTGTTTGTCCAAGCTCCCAAAGGATGCAGAGGCTTGGTTTGCTGACACAACCTATCACATCAAAAATCAATCCAGTGAAGTAGTGATCAAGTTGTTTCAAGGTAAAGTTCACACTATTCAAGGCAATGATCAGTCAGCTCAATGGGCAGAGCTATGAGCAATGCCCCTCACTCTTACATTGAGCACTCAAAAGAAGGTATTCATCTATACTGACTCTTAAGCTATGGCCAACAGCCTAATTGTTCCATCCAGTTAATGGCAGCAAACTAATTGGAAAACCAAGTCCAACTCAGTTTAGGGGCATCACTGTGGGCCTACACAGCAGCTGAACAACAAATGAAACCTAGACAAACAAAAAAGCAATGGCTTATACATTATCCCTATTATCTATCCGCTAAAGGAGACCCTTTTCAGAGAAATCCTTCAACCTGGTTTAACCCCTCTGCTGAGATGGTTTGCCAGAGTATGGCTGCTGCACATGCTACAACTTCTTGGAATCACGGGTGAGAATTGAGTGCCAGGTAGACGCCAAAGGTGGATGAGCAGCCCCAAAAAGGTCCTAGCAGACCCTCATACTAAAGGTGCTAGTCCTCCTTGAACACCCCATAAATTCCCTGCCCCTGCCAAAAAAAAAAAATGACCTGGAAAATGGATGGAGATGATTTAAGATGTATTGGATTACCTGAAAGCTACAACACTATACATGAAAGCCATCACTATATAAAGGGGTGGAGAAATCAGAATAGTTAATACCAAGAGGCAAAAGATGTAGACTTAAAAGCAAGAACTTATCCAGCAAAACTGAGTATAACCTTACAGGGGAAAAAATACTTTTAATCAAAGAGAGTATTTTAAACATCCCTAATGAAAATACTAAATCTGCACTGGAACTTTGAAGTTCAAACAAAAGAGTTAAGAGAAACACAAAAAAGTAAACATGAATAAATAATTTTAAGTTACTAAAACAAGGATAAACTGTTTACATGTGTCCTACCAAATTCCATCAGCTTTAGGGGTCAGAAGTCTAACTAGACAAAAGACCAGGGAGTAGTTCTGTTGTCTTGAACATCTTAAAAGAAGTGAAAAAGAGGGGAAAAGGGAGGAAGTCAGGGAAAATTCTCTCACATAATCAGGGTAAAGCCTATTCAAACAAGGAGAAAGGACTGGAAGGATCAGATCATACTTGAACTTCATTCTCATCTAAAATAGAGAGAAGAATACACATAAACAGAGTTGGATACAGAAATACATTTTACCCTTCAGAGAAACAAAAAGGAAAGGGGAGGTGCAATGAAAGAGGGTAGTTTATGGAAGAGAATAGTTCTAAGCAAAATAAACTCTAAAAATGTACAAAAATAAGTATAGCTCTTTTTGTAGTGGCAAAGAGTTGAAAACTGAGGTGGGTACCACCAATTAGGGAAGGGCTGAACAAGTTAAGGCATGTAAATGTGATGGTAAATTATTGTGTCATTAAAAAAAAATTATGAAGAGGACACAATGGCTTCAGAGAAACTTGGGAAGACTTGTACAAAACACTGAGGAACCAAGTTAGTGGAACTACAGTTTATACAACGACAATAAAGACAAAACAATTTTGAAAGACTTGAGAACTCTGATCAGCAAAATGACCCACCACAACTCCTGAGAACTCATGGTGAAACATGCTACTCACCTCCTATGCCTCAGTGTATAACAAAACATCACGGTCAATGAGGAAGTTTGTTTCGCCTGACTGAGTCTAACAGTACTTTTGTTTTTCTCAATTGGGGGTGTCAGTGGAAGTGAGGGAGAGGTGTATTTTTGCATTTTTAAAAAAATTCTGAGTATCAGTATCTCAGGTTTCAATGTGATAGGAACGTCCCTTGTTGGTTTGTTTCAATCAGGGTCCAGCAGTTAGCTAATGGTTTTTAGGGAGTCAGATGATTCTTAAAATTTTCTCTTCCCCCTTTTCCACATCAATGGTCTCTGATAGATAACTCACATTATTCTAATTTTCAGTTAATGTTCAAAATTTTTTTTGTTCTTATCAAATCAGTTTCATTTGCTCATTTGCTCCCTTCTTTAAAGGGTGTCTACTAGTTGGGTCATATTTTCTATCTTCTGTTCAAAGATATTCTACAATTTTTTTCTTACGACTTCTCATTTTACTTTTGCCTTTTGCTTCATTCTTTTCCACGCTGTGGCAATCTTTTCTTGTTTCTGAAGTTCAACTTGTATTCATTATGGAATTCCTCTCTGGCCATCTTCACGCCAAAGCCACCAGGCATATAAACTACTCTCCAAACCTTTCATTTAGCTCTGAGAACAAATCAAATCCACATTACCACTCCTGAAAAGGATGTGTAAACCAATTGCCTTAAGGCTCCACTCACCATGCCCATGACTTCCAAGTCCAAAACACCTCTCTCCTGATCAGCATTCCCTGTTTATGTTTTTCTTTACTGGGAAATTTCTTAGGGGAGTTGGGATCAGATGTACTTAAGCTTTCATGTCACTATCTTTACCAGAATAGGTTATAACACTTTAAGTAACCTTTGAAGGACCTGATTATTAAAACGTGATATTCTAAAAGATGGTAATGGCAAATTAGTTTTTTCTGCCATTCAGATCAAATTAATTGGCCTGCCAATCAGCCACAAAGGTATAATTTGGCCTTAAAAGAATAAATGAAATCTATTTAAAGATATGTATACAGTGCTACATGCAAACTAAAGAACCAAGTTTGACTATTTCGTGTGTTCACAACAAAGTGACATTATTTTATTATTCAATCTTCATGGCCCATATTTTATTTATAGCTGTGGTACATTTACAAATATCAGAAGAAAAGAAAATCTTAAGTCTCAGTACCATTACCAACAACTATATTACACTAATTTTAGGCACGGCACAAGAGAGAGAACTATGAAAACAAACAAGCATACCAAAATTCCAAAATTATAAGAGAGAAATCAGTATAATCAGAAAGAAAATGAATCAGTCAGAATTCTGACACTTAGTAACCCTGTCTGACCATGAGAAATTTGCTCTTTTAGCATCAGTTTCCTCAACTATAAAATAGGAATAATGCTTACCCTGCATGCTCCCCAGGATTGTTGCAAGGAAAGCACCTTGCAAACACTCGAAGTACCACAGATATGTGTTTTACCATTATTGATGTTAGCTGACCTCAGAATTGAAAGCAGTTCTGATATTTGGAGGCTACAGCAGAGATTGCATTCCTTCTACTGACAACCACCAAAGGAGATTCTGACTCCTAATGTAACAATAAACATTTACTTCGCTTTCAGAGATTGTTCTTGGTTATTATAATTAGTGTCTTATTTACTAAACTAAAAAAGAGCAATTTGCTGGAAGGATCATTATTATAGAGCCTACAGGAAAATTCCCCCTGTGCAGTAAAAGTTATATATTCTTCTCTTACTATACGTGTGATTATATGGTTGAAGAAAAGGTGAACAACCTATGGCAGAGGTGTCAGTGAGTACCTGAAGTTTCCAATAGTACTTCAATACGCTGTATTCTCTTTGACAAACCTCCTTTCCTCCTCTATTTGCTTTCCTACTCCCTTGTCCCTTGCCTTTGTTCTGGCTAGGTCTGGCTAGGTGGTGCTTAAAACTGACTCCTGCACCAAAAGGGCACTACTGATTTACACTACTACTTGTCACCACACTTCACTAAGCATCAACCTAATATCTAACTACTGACTTTGTGACCATACACTGCTAGAGCAATCCCGTTTATAAAGAAACATTAGGTAAAAAGAATTCCTAGTTTAGTGTGCCAAGTGAGTTTTTTAATTGTCAGAAAAATGAATATTGCAACTTGGATCCACATGAGGCTTAACAAACACAGTAGCCAGATACAATCTTTAGAAATAATGATGCATTAGAAGGCATAAAAAATGTTTCAGCACAGTCATGTGTCAGTTGTCAGTAAGGGGAATCTATAACCCATTATAAGCAATAGCTTAGAATTTTGTAGTTCTAACAATCAAATATTTTAGATGGCAGCATATATTTCTTCTTTAAAAGGAAAAGAGAAAAGCTGCAAACATTACCATAGAACACAAATTCTAAAACAATTCTATACTATGCATCTAAAAAAATTCTATTTTGGGAAGGATGTTATGCTAAGTAAACTATTTGTACTAAATATTAAACTATACTAGTAGTATACTAGTAGTAGTAGGCTACTCCTTATATTAAATATTGTAGCAAATGTCTAAATAAGTTGCCTAGAATTTTAAGATGTTCTAAAATACACATGTGAAAACTTTTATTTTAGCAACACACTCGGAACACCAACATTCAAAACTGTACAGAATGCAAAACCATTTAATGTTGAAAACAACATAACAAGACTACACATAAGCAAGCACACACATGTGCGTGCACACACTTACAACTTAAAATTTCTTGCCCCACATCCTACAGTCTCAAAATTTAATACTGTAAACATTACTGAGCAAATTGGGGCATCGCGGTAATGGCTCAGCTGCCTTAATAACAAGTTGTACTGTAACATAACTTTTGAAGGCTACCGATCAGTGAAAAGTCAAATAGGTTATTTTCCCTGACCATTTCTGAAAGCAAACTGTTTTAAAGAGATGAATGTTCAAGCTTGTTTTTTTTTTTAATTCACACACAAAAATTTATCTGCCAGAGTCAGGAGCTGGAGGGCAGACACATGTCTTTGCACTAGTTCTTGGCAAGGTCCTACATGTTCACATCAATTTTTTTTTAAAAGAAAGAGAAAATTTTTTTTTTAAAAAGGAAAGAAAAAAATTAAAACAAAGCTGTTAGCGCTGACTGTGAATCCTCCACTTCTGTACAAAGTGGGATAAACCACTCTTCTTGACTAAATCAGTTTTATGCTCTCGGCTGCTTTTCAAATGCAAAAACCAAGTAAATACCTAAAAATGAAAGAAAAAATACATTTAAGGCTTGGTATCTTGCTTCACAAGGAAAATAAAAAGAACAATTCAAGTACACAATATAAGGTTTGGTTTAAAAAAAAAAATCCTCTGCTCTCAGAAAGTGCTGAAAAAAGAAGGAAAGTGAGAAATCCTAATATCCTCAACTATTTTCTTGTTGACTGACGGCCTACTTCAGTTCATCCTTAAATGGACAAATGATCATCAATTGCAAAATTTGTATGCATACAATAATCTACAGTAGCATCACTTCAATGATTTCATGGCTCCAAAAAAAGACACAAGACAGTTTTGAAATGTAATGTCAAAACTACAAACAAAACAAAACACTTTATGTCTGATCTAATGTGCAGTAACTAGAGGACATATATAGATCATCTTTCAAGCAGTAGTAGAATACCTCCACAATAAATCCAATTGGCAGTGACACTCTAAAAATTGTATTTAAAATAAAAATTGGAACAATAAATGAGAAACTTTTCTTTGTATGAATGAAATAAAGTTTGTGATATTCCTTACAGGGAATTTCTACCACTTTCTATATAGCGAGCAAAACACGGGAACTAGCTAAAACTGGTCTGATGGCCCACAGGTGACTAATTTCTGAAAGAGATCAAATATTTTGGTCCTAACTTTAAGTCAAACACAGAGTTAATATGCTTCAGAGGGACTTATAATCTTAGCTTAGCTAAGCAAGTACATAAAGAATTCTTTAAATGTACTCCTACCCTTCTGTACTCTAAATCCATGAAACAAGACTTGTTTTCATGGGGGGCAGACCACTTTTGCTTTTTCTTTGTATCCTTAGAGCAGAACATGGTGCCTAGCACATACACACTATGGAGTATGTTACTAAAAGAGTCCTGGTTTAGGTGCAAATTAAGGATAAAGAATTGATAGTTCCACACTGAAGGAAGGGACTAAATATGAGTCTTAGGCTAAGTCTATATAAACCTGAAAAGTAACAGTAAATAGCATGGAATAAACCTTTAACTAGGTAACAGACACAGTTCATTCTCCACCTATACATATTTGCCCTCATTTGGGGTGTTTGTGTGTTGAGGGAGAATGGGGGTGGGAATGGGATAGACAATGAGAATGGATGATAAGAGCATGGAGGCTGGCATTCAGGCAAGTGAAAATACATCAAACACACGCACAAAAGAGCAAAATTAATCTCTACAATTTCCCTTCAGCATGTGAACTCCTGAAACTTATCAAATCTAAACACTAAAAGATGTCACGTGCTCACACTGATTCTACTTACTTGTAGCTTCCCATTCGGATTTACTTAAGGTCCCCTAAATTTAAATTTAAAAAGAGAGGAGAAAGTTATAAAGATTAATACAAAACCATACACAGATTTACAGGAATTTGTTATTGTTTATAATTCATAAAGACTTTAAACATTAAATGATATCTAAGATAATAAAGATGAAAAACTGCAGGTCTAGATTTAGGCATATGTGCAAATGGATACTACAAATTTTGAAGGGTGACTACAAGTATATTGTCTATACAGGGTGTCCCAAAAGTCTGAGTTCCATTTTAAGCTTTAATTGTTAAAACTTCAGTAGTACACACACTTAATATAAGAATTAGTAAGTACTTCTTCAATTATAACCACATTTTTCTTTATCGTAACCAATACATAAAATTTATTAGTAATAATTATTACTATTTTTGAAAAGATAATGAATTTATTTTAAACTACATTCATAAAACCAATACGGGATACAAATCCATAGTCCAACACTCTCCTCTGTTTCTGAGAGAAAATTGGAGAGAAGTGAGTCAAAAGGACAACAAAGTCTGGGTTTTTGTGATCTCTTGCAAGACTGAAAAACATAAAGCACTCTTGGTTATTACCCAAAACATCACAGTTTCCTCCCTAATCCCTTAAAACTCATCTCACTCCATACTCTGCTTCTGCATCTATATAGTTGATTTTGGAGAAAATTGATTATTGCTCCTATAAATATAGGTCAACCACAAAGTGCCTCTGAAGTATGTATTAGAAGGAATAGCTTTTAAAAAAACAGTCAAAGAATAGTGAAGGGGTCAAAGCCTGGTAGAGAAATGCAATAGACACAGATCTGAATTACTGATCTTACGTTTCAATACAATATTTGCTTTATTTAATGCCTAACAAATATTTTCTTTTAGGAAATACTTACCAAAGGTAATCTAACTTGACTGTTTTTCATATACTTTGCAGCATGTTCATAATCACCCAAATTCCCCGAGGCAAGCTTAGAATTCTCATTGGCTGGATATGGCTAAGAAAGTAAATTAAACTCTTGAGTTTCCTTATACCAATGCCTACTATTAAGTCAATAAATACTAGAAATTCTCTTAGAAGTAAAAAAATAACTTACTTTAAACTTATAAAAGAAGCATTGTGAGAGAAACCATGGCAAGGAAGAAAGAATCTTGGACATGGGCTCAAAAAACCCAAATTCTATCAATTATCAAATCACATTCAACTTGATTGTTTGAGGTAAATGCTTACAAAGAAATTTACAAAAATGTCAAGCACTACCAAAAGATAAACGGTCAAAGGATATGAACAGTTTCTAAAGAACCACATGAAAAACTGTTTGAAATCATTAAAAGATATGCATACTAAAAAACTCTGAGGCATGACCTCACATTCATCAAACTGGCAAGGATGAAAAAATGTACAATTAGTTGATGTTGAAGAGGTTATGAGACAACAGACACAGTGATGACTGTCTCTGTTAGTGGAGTTCTTCAAAATAAACAAACATTTATTAAGTGGTTACTACGTGTAACCACTACGTGTTACTACACTATGTTATGCGCTAAGGATACAAATTTATATACAAATACAAAATTGCCCGTCCTCAAGAAGCTTACAATTTAATGGGGTAAAAAAACGCACAAAAGGAAGCTTAAAGGGATGGAAGGAGGAACAAAGGTATCTGGTGCAGTGGCATAATGTTGGAGGAGTCAATTCCAAACAGTGCAGCTGGCAGGAAATAAAGAACTGGGTGGGCTTCTGAGGCCTCTTTAAATAACAACTCTTCTATTACACAATGATGAGAAAAGAAGGAGACAGCTAAGTGGTGCAGTGAATACAGCAATGGGCCTAGAGTCAGGAAGACCTGAGTTCAAATTCAGCCTCTGTGTGACTGTGTGACTCTAGGTGAGTCAGTTAACCCCCATTTGCCTCAGGACTTCACCCGTAGAATGGAAAACACACTGGAGAAGGAAATAGCAAACCACTCCAGTAATCTTTGCCAAGAACAAAAGTTCATGAAGTCATGTAGAATTGGACCTGACTGAACAAGAAGAAGAAAGGAAACTACAAATAAATGACTTCAAATAAGCTATTATGGATTAGTCAGGTAAAATTTCCATGGAAGTATACATATATATATAAGAATACATCATTCAAGTGACATTGAAATAATTAAATCTCCTACAGAAACTTCTTTAACTCCAAAAGACCTTAAAATCAAATAAATATATGAAAGAACATGGGTTTGAGGGATAAAGCAATCAGAAAATAAGATCAAAGAATAGCAATTCAAATTTTTAAGAGATGTTAATGAATTAGGAGCCAGGAAGACATTAACCAAAATTAAATATAAATACCCATAATCTTCAGAAAGATATCATAGAATCGCTGATTTAGACCTGAAAAAAACCTTAGAAGCCAATGAGTTCAACCCCTTCATTTTAAAGTGGAGAAAAATGAAACCCAGAAACATTAAGGAAGGGAGGGCCCAATTTTTTCCTTTCATAAGCTCTCTTAAAGTTCTCAATATAAGATGGGGACAATTATAAATTCTAAATTAATTTGACTAATCTTTTTTGGGGGGGGGGAGAATCTTGGGGGGGCAGGGTCCTTTCTGTCCCTAACCACCAACCATTTCAGATGAGTACTGTCTTTCAAAGAGTCGCCCTGCTCAACACATCTTTGGAATGCTTCCTGTAATTACCCTCAGAGCCAGTTTACTATCCTCATAAGAACATTAGTTTCACTACCCTAGTCAAGGGTATTTCCTTGGTTCACTATCTTTTTTCTACAATCTTTTCTCCATCTTCTCTGCTTAGCTCTATCTTCCCCCCTGCTCTTCTTATTGGCACACTTGAGACAAGAGTACATGTGCCTAACTAAAGAATCTGAGAAGAGGGACCCTGGGCCCAGATTGAGATGAACAAAGGAGAAGACCGATTGATAGTTCACTTGTGTATTGCCTTCCTACCATAAATAGATCTAATCGGATATGCGTAATAAATGTGAACTGCTAGAGGTCAAATCATCATAAATGGAAGGACAGATGCAAGTATATATGTATGTATGTATGTGCGTTTATAGGCACAAAGCCTTAAAAATAATTTCTTGTTCCTAACAAGAAGTGACAAAATACTTTGAAAGGCAACCATTACCATCCCCATACTGACTAGAAAAACCTAAAAATGAAAAAGAGAGCAATACAGTACCAAAATGATAAATAACAAAAGATAACATACTATACACAGGCAAAAGAATGCCCTTAATGTATATATTACATAACTGTACATAATTTTTTTATTAAAATTAGATATAAACAGTAGTAAAGTTTCTATTCTTTTTAGAAAATAGAAGGATGTCTTTTTTTTTTTATTTCTTAGTTCACATTTTAAAAAAACTTGATGGTTAGATGACACACTGACTACCTCTGCAAAAGGAAAAGAATATATAACCAGTGATTGAATGTTACTGTAGGATTGAGTCTGAATTCATAATAACTCTTACAAATGCTTCATTTTCCTATAAAAGATCTATTGCTCCTTATTAAAAAAAAAAAAAAAACAACCCAACCTATTCCTCACAGGGTATTTGTAAGGAAAGAACTCTGTAAACTCTAACTGATTATCATCAAAATTAAACTAAGGCTCTAAAGGTGCTTCCAGGAAACTAATCATCATGGAGATACCACCTAGAGGTTGTGCTCTTACCTCATCAGTATCCTCAGGAGCCTCTGTCCCTGATTGGAGGCTGGAGTGTAGAGCAAAAGACTCCTCAAAAACCCTCCACTTAAAGAGGGCTCAGAAGCCCAGTCAACTCTTCATTTCCTACCATATGCACTCCTTAGAACTGACTCACCATAATCAAGCCCCCAAACCAGGAACTTTCTTATCCCTTCCCCCAACTTCCTTTCAGCTTCCTTTTGCGTATTCTTCTCCCCTATTAGACTAAAAGCTCCTTGAAAGCCAGCATTGTCTGTCTTTTTCTTATTAGTATCCCCAGCACACAGCACAGTGCCTGGTACATAGTAAGCACTTAATAAATGTTTATCTTATTGTACATCCCACTTATTACCATCTCTCAATAGCAGAGAATAAAAAGACTGAATATTTTGGGTCTGTTTAACTATACAATATTAAATTGATATGAGAAGGAAAAAAGAGGGAAAAATCAGAAAACAATAGTTCTCATGTACATACTCTGAAAAGCATATAGGCTTACCATGACAAATTTAAAAACAAAAGTGGGTACAGAACTACTTCTCTTGGTTAGATCTGGAAAAGAAAAAGATGTCCTATTTCTAATCAGAAAGAGGAAAAAAAGATGTGATTTCCTTATTTGTCATTTAGCTAAAATGTAAAAGAATAAAAAAACATGCCCAGCAATAGACAATGTTCAGCTCTTGGTGAATTCTGATAATCCGCAAATGTGCCATAAAATCTATTCTTTTATCTGGCATTATTTAGAGATTGTTTAAGATTATGATCATCATAGATATCTAAAAGTGTGAACCACAAACTATTTACATTACTTCCACTTTCTAGTCAAGAAATGATGCAATTAAATAGACTGGAACACTGTTATGAATTTATTTAATAGAAAAGTGAAAGGAAAAGGATGGGCTTGTCCAGAAAAGAACACAGACTAACAATAACAAGAAGAAAAGTAAGAAAGAATCAACTGACAAATACTTCCTGACAAGGACTTAGAAAGAACAATTAAGAAATTATGCTATGGTATGCAGTGACATTAATTCGAAGACAAACAGTGGCTAAACAAATGCAGTTGGTTTTTACTGAAATTCAATACTGCTATTAATAAAATACTTCAATAAAATATAAGAAAATTAGATGTTTGTTTTAAATTTGCTCTTCCATCCAGTTTAAGTTATTGAAATACCCAAAGGATTTCAATTACAAGATAGTCCAAAAGATGCACTGAGAAAATAGCATAATACAATTAATGAGACAAAGAATATTTATTAAGTATCTACTATCTGTTGAGCTATACTAACTGCTGGAGGTAGAAAGAAAGGAAAAAACAGTCAATGCTCTCAAAAAGCTCATAGTCTAAGGAGGGAGACAATATACAACAAACTATATCAGGAAAAACTGGAAATTATCAACAGAAGGAAGGCACTAGAATTAAGCAGGGATTGGAGAAGGTGTCCTGTAGAAGGTAGGGTTCTAGTCAAGACTTGAAGGAAGGCAGGAAGCAGAGATGAGGAAGGAGAGCGTTCCAGTTCTGGGGGATAGGCAGTGAAAATGCCTATGTCAGTGTCAGAGATCAGTATTACTAGATTGAAGAGTACATGTTGGGTGTAAGGTACTTAAAAAGTACTGAAAAGGTAGAAGGGGCCAGGTTATGAAGGGATCTGAATGTTAGATGATTTTATATTTGATCCTGGAGATGATAAGCAGCCACTGGAGTTTACTGAGAGAAAGACACAAGAGACCAGAAGGTGATTTCAATAGTTCAGGCACAATGTGATAAGGGCCTGCACCAGGGTGATGGCAGTATCAGGAGAGAAAGGGGTATACGTGAGAGATGTTATGAAGGTAAAGAAGAAAAGAAAGATGAATAACCTATATAGAGTTATGAGGAGAACTGGCAACTGATTGAATAGGGTAAGAGAGAAGGATCAAAGATGACATCTAGGTTGCAATACTGAGCGAGTGAGTGAGGGGCAGCTCGGTAGCATAGTGGATAGAGCACTAGCCCTGGAGTCAAGAGGACCTGAGTTTCAATCTGGCCACAGATATTGGACACTAGCTGTGTGACCCTGGGCAAGTCACTTAACCCCACTGCCTAGCCGTTAAAAAAAAAAGAGTGAGGAGAAAAATTTTGGTGCCCTTGATAGTAATAGGGAAATTAGAAACAGGGAATGATTTTGGGGGGAAAGATAATGAATTCTGTTTTGCACATGCGGAGTTTAAGATGTTTATAGGACATCAGGTTCAAGTATCCAATAAGCAGTTGGAGATGTGAGATTACAGGTCAGCAGAGAAGTTAGGGCTGTAATCATCAGCAAAGAGGTGATAATTGAATTTGTGAGAGCCAATCAAGTGAAATAGTAAAGAGGAAGAAAAAAAGAGGATCCAGGACAAAACCTTCAGAAACAGCCAGGGTTAAACAGGACTGACCGAGATGAAATTATAGAAAAAGAGAGTAAGGAAAAGTTGGATAGGTAGGTAGGAAGACAGAGTAGTATTGCAATGAGACGAAGGTGATCAACAGTATCAAAAGCTGTAGAGAGGTCAAGAAAGATGAGGAATGAGAAAAGGACATCAGATTTGGCAATAAGAAGAGCATTAGTCACTTTGGAGAGACTAGTTTCATTTGAATAATGAGGTTAAAAGCCAGACTGTAGTGTCAGTAGTGTCAAATTCAAAGAGCAACCATACATAAGAATCCCATCAGCTGCAAACTTATTTAGTTTTAAAATGTGATGTTATCTGTTACAATTATACTTTTATAGTCTGTTAAATATTTCCCAATTACATTTTAATCTGATTCAGTCATTGTGTACAGCTTTATATTTCCCACCACTGCTATAGAGAATTAAAAAGAGAGAAAAGTAAGTGGAGTCACCTATTGTAGTCTTCTCAAAGAATTTAGCCACAGAGAGGCAGAGCAAAAGCAGTGACTTGCTTGAGCTCTCCCCCAAACCTCTCCAAAAACCTGTAAAAAATGGCTCTAAACAAATTCTAGAGCAGCAGAACCCGCAAAAAGACAGAGAGAAACAAATTCCCAGCCCAAGACAACTTGGATGGTTGATTGGAAAGGTCTATCACACTGGGCTGGGAGAGGAATGCAGTTCAATGCGGGCATGCAGGTAAAGACCAGGCCTCAACAAACCTGCAGCAGGCCTCAGGGGACTGAATCAAGAGCAACTGTGGTGGTTTCCAGACGTTTCAATTCACAAATGCCAAAGACAACTTAGAAGGTCAGTAGGAAAAAATCTGTGACCACTGTGAGAGAGAAGCTAGGTCGCAGTTCCAGTCCTGGCGTAGTCCCGGGGCAGCGGTTGCTTCCAGCCCACAGCCTGTGGCTGATCAGAGGGGGCCTGCTGGTGCTAAGGCAGGTTTCTCTTGCTTTGCCGGTGCTTGGATCTGGGTCACAATTCTGGGTGGCGATTCTGGGGTGAGGAGAAGAGCTGGCGTGGTAGAGCTTGCAGTGGCAGTGGAGAGGTAATCCTCTTCACAGTTCCAAGACAGAAAAGAGATCTTGTGGTCACTCACAGACCAGAGTACAGGCCAAGAAAGGAGTAAACACCTCACCCCTTGATCATACCAACTTGGAAGAACTGAAGACCTACAGGTCCCTAGAAGTATCTCTGAGAACAGCTACACAAAAACCCCAAAGCCTGGGACAGTACATTCTCCACACTGGAAGCAGCCCCCTACCTCAACAAAGAGTTTAAAACTCAAGTAATTGGCTGGGATCATGAACAAACTGCGCAAAAAAGTCAGACCACAGAATCTTCCTTTGCTGACAAAGATCAAAACATACAATCAGAAGAAGACAATGAAGTCAAAGCTCCTATATCCAAAGCCTCCAAGAAAAATATGAATTGGTCCCAGGCCACGGAAGAGCTCAAAAAGGGATTTTGAGAAGCAAGTAAGAGAAGTATAGGAAAAACTGGGAAAAGAAATGAGAGTGATACAAGAAAACCATGAAAAACTAGTCAACAGCTTGCTAAAAGGAGATCAAAAAAATGTGAGAGAGGATTATACTGGGAGGAGAAAGGGAAAGGTAGAATGGGGTAAATTATCTCCCATAAAACAGACAAAGAAAGGTTTTTATAGTGGAGGGGAAGGTGAGAGGGAATGAGTGAATCTTATTCTCATCAGATTTGGCTTAAGAAAGGAATAACATACACACTCAATTGGGTATGGAAATCTATCTTGCCCTACAGGAAAATAGGGGGAAAGGGGATAAAGCAGGGAGGTGATAGAGGGGAGGGCAGATTGGCGGAGGGGGTAATCAGAAGCAAACACTTCTGAGGAGGGACAGGGTCAAAAGAGAGAACAGAATAAACGCGGGGTGGAATAGGATGAAGGGAAATATAGTTTGTTTTCTACAACATAACTACTATGGAAGTGTTTTGCATGACTACATAAGTATAACCTGTATCAAGTTGCTTGCCTTCTCAATAAGGGTGGGTGGGGAGGGAGAAAGGGAGAAAATTTGGAACCCAAAGTTTTAAAAACAAATGTTAAAAATTGTTTTCACATGCAACTGGGAAATAAGATACACAGGCAATGGGGTATAGAAATCTATCCTGCCCTACAGGAAAATTGAAGGGAAAGAGGATAAGAGGAGGTGGGGAAGATAGAAGGGAGGTGGAAAGGGTAATCAGAATGCCCACTGTCTTGGGGTTGGGGAAGGGACAAGATGGGGAGAAAATTTGGAACTCAGAATCTTGTGGAAGTGAATATTGAAAACTAAAAATAAATAAATTAATGAATCTTAAAAAAAAAAAACATAAAAGAATTTAGCCACAAAAAGGAAAGACAAAAGACAATAGCTATCAAGTAACATCTTTTTTTGAGAATGGAACATTTGTAGGCAGTGGGGAAGCAGCCAGTAGACAGTAGACAGTGAGAGATTGAAGATAACAGACAGATGAGCAATCTGTTGGAGGAGATGGGATGGAATGGGATCACCTGTGCATATACAGAGTTGTGCCTTGGCAAGAAAAAGGCCCACATCTTCATGTGAGACAGGGATGAGAAGACAGTGCTATATATGGGGGATATGAAAGGAAGATGAAGTCCTTGGTGAATGGTTTCACAGTTTTTTCAGTAAAATATGAGGCAGAGTTCTCAGGTAAGAAGGTAGAGGAGAGGGAGCCATGGGAGGTTTGAGGAGGATAAAAATGTCTGAAAGAGGCTAGTAAGTTAATTGGAAAGGTTTAAAAAGATTGCTCTGCCACAATGAAGACCCAGTTAAAATTATTATATAACATAAATTAGTAGTGAATCCAGTTAGCATAATTTTGCGATCCCCCCAGCTTTGTTCTAGAACATGAGTAGGGACAAAGGCAGGAGATGATGGGAGTCATTCAGGAACAAATACTGGCACGTAAGGGGGCAAGAGACATGACAAAAAAACTGAAATGATCCATCAAGAAGTAATGATGGGGAGAGCTGGAGAATGAGCCAGTCCAGCCAGCCAGAGATTACTGGAAAGAATGAATGTACAAACTGTTTGGAAAACACTTCAAAAATGAAAATCTAGTTGATATTTTACTTGGGAAATAAATAGCAACTTCAAATTCTTTTCAAAACACTTACCTCTAATGCCTGCATTCGTTTTAGAAGCACTTTGTTTTCAACATTCTTGATCTTTTCTTCATAGAATTCCAAAAATGTCTTTTTGTAAACTAGTTTCATATTATACTTCTTTGCCATTCTGTTAAAAAAAAGAAAAAAAAAATTGTGATAGCGAAGTAAAAACATACAGATTTTTAATAATCTGAACTTCTATGCCACAGTGACATCTTCAGGTTTCAAATAAAATAACCACTCTTCTTAGAAATGAAAACACATTAATACAAAATGTGTTCATTCATTTTACAAGTTATTAATCAATAAATCCTCAAAAGTACAAAGCCCTCAACTAGGAGCTTTGGGAGATATACAACAAGTATAAAGTATAAACTCTACTCTCAAGGATATTACATTGGAGTACACAAATTTAAGCACACAAGGTACTTAAACAGGATATTTCACTCTTCAGAATTTGTAAAATACTTTGTCTAACCTCCTTGTTTTATAACTAAGGCCCAGAAAGGGAAAGGGAACTAGAAATGGGAAACACCCAAAATGTTAAAGAAATCTGAGGGCTTGAAAGACAAGAGACAAGCCAGGCTAACAAAAAGGATGAAATTATATCACTTGAAGTTGAGTAAAACAGTTTAAAGAAATAAAAATGCTACTTTTAGAGAAGTAGTAAAATGATGGTACCCATTAATCACCTCAAGGTTGAAGATAGGAATATTTCCCCCCCAAAAAAATTCAGCTAAATCAATAGATTCTAAAATCTACAATGAGCTACCATGTAGTCAGTCCTATCACTAAAAAAAAGAAATGAAAGTTGTGACTCAAAAAATAAGGTATTAACTGAAAAGTTGATTTCCTTTCCACTAATTTCCACAAGTCAAAGGATTTTCAAATGAGAAATGAAGGAATATTTAACTTTTGCAAAGTGTTTTAATTAAACTGTCAAATATAGCAATATAGCTTCCACATCATGCTTGATATTTTCTCAAACCTTTTTTTTTGGGGGGGGGGGTATCTTTATCTCACCCGTGCTGGAAATGCCAATAATCACTCACAGGCCCATCACTACTGATTTACATGGCATGGGAGTTTTGACCTGCTCTGTTTCTGACCTGGGCCAGTTTTGTTTCTCCTTGGGCAGCCTCGTGGTTCTCTGCTCCAAGGACTCACCATATTAATGCTGAACTTACTGTGGACACCCAACTGGCTTAGCCCACTGCAACTCAGAAGTCCCACGCTCAAAAATCTGCTGGCCTCAGCTTCCTTGGTAGCAGAGACTACAAACTTGTGCCAACTGACCTGGCATTTACATTTTCTACCCATTACCATAGGGAGGCAGCTAAATAAAAAACTCAACTAGTTTTCAAGTACCCTCCCAAAATCAAAACATAAAATTTTTAAGTGTGAAACTTATCCATTGTATACTGTGCTTATAACTTTCCTTATGCTAATGACAAGGATCTCAGCACAAATGCCTGCAAAATAACTACAAACAGTATATAATTTTTACTTGCAGAAATGTTACTGAAAATTAAACCATAATTTTATAAGCTACTTACCGTTATATTAAGCTATAAATAAAAAAAAAACCCAGTAAACAAAAATCAAGAGTAGTTAATGGAACTATTAAAGAATCTAATTATTCTTCATGTAAGAAAACCAAACAAACCAAAAAGAAAGTACTAAAAGAAATGTTTCAGAAAACTGGAAGCAGTAAAACTTAGAACTATGCTGAAAAACTAGAACTCTAAAATTCAGATGGTTTATACTAAAGTTCATTTTTGCATGACATCACAGGGATCTCCAATGCTTTGATACAGCTAAGACTTTTTTTTTTTTTGGCTTTTTTTTTAGTGAGGCAATCAGGGTTAAGTGACTTGCCCAGGATCACAGAGCTGATAAGTGTCACATGTTTGAGGCTGCATTTGAACTCAGGTCCTCCTGACTCTAAGGCCAGAGCACCATCTACTTCACCACCTAGCTGCCCCTTAGATCAAAGACTTACCTGGTACACCTCCAATCTAAGTTAGTTGCCTTCAACATTCACCCCCCCTGCATGATTTACCTGAATTCCATCAGAGACAGGAAGACAGCCCACATAAATGCCCTCTTCCTCCTATTCTAGCACTTTAGAATTAGTACCCTACACTCCCCACATGCCACTTCCAGGTTCTCCATCTACCACTCTCACTCAGTAATCTGTTCTCCTTTAAAGTTCATTCAATCCATATTGATTAAGATTCTGGTGGCTGCTGGCCTCTAAGACACGTTTCCCTCCTTCAGTAAGTAGAGTTTCTCTCCTCCCCAACTCCTACCTTCGTACTAAGGGACTTCAACATATATACTGATAATCCCTCAAATCCTTCAATTGCTTATTTCCCATCCAGCCCACCTCAGCTACACAGAGATAGTCATAGCCCTGATCTTGCCATCACCGCATTAATGAATTCTGAAATTCCTTTATCTGATCATAATCTGTTCTCATTCCACTTGTATTTCTGCCTTGCATACCTCGTAACCTGTTCTTCATCCTCACTATGACCTGCAATCTTTCAACTGTTCAGTTGTTTCAAGTCATCCTCTCTGCACTGGCTACACTTTCCTCCCTTCTTCATCTTGATGCCTTTGTGAACCAGTTCAATGCTGCACTGTTATTTTCTCTCAAGTCCCTTGTCTCCCTATCCTATTGCCAATCTTGCCCTACCAAGTCTCAACTCTGGACCACTCCCATCATCCCATCGCTGCTCTTATGTTCTGCTGAACAAAGCTAGGGAGAAATCATAAAATCATTCTTTCTGACTGGGTCCACTACAAATTTATGTTACATAATAATATCAACTAAGTCTTCAATGAAGCAATGCAATCCTTTTAAACCTCTCTAATCAAGTCACTCTCCTATTTACCACATTTACCTAAATCTTTTCATTCTTCTTCAAAACTGGCATAGCTCCACCAACCCCCCAAAAACCTTGCTTTATATTTTACTGAAAAAACTATGAAGCCATTCACCAAAGAATTCTTCTCATCTCATATCCCACCCCCGTATGCTACTATCTTCTCCTTTAACCCTCACATAAAGAGATGGTTCTTTTACATGCACACATGATCCCACCTTCTCCAGCAGATCTATCACTTCTCTCTAGATTTCAATGACAGTGCTTTCTCCTGGTTTTCCTACTGTCTGACCATTCATTCTGTCTCCTTTATTGGATCCTCACTCAAGCTACACCTATTAATCATGGGTGCTTCCCAGATCCTCTTTTTTGGGCCCTCTTTTCTCTCTCTCTATATTAATTTGCTTGTTGATCTCATCAGCTCCCAAGGTTTCAACGATCATCTCTATGTGGTCGATTGTCAGATGCATCTGTCCAACCCTAACCTGTCTCCTTATCTCCAATCTTACATCTAAAACTGACTATTAGAAATCCTGAACTATTCCCTGTAGACATCTTTAATTCAACATGTTCAAAACAAAATTCACTGTATTTCCACCCAAGCCACACCTCTGTCTAACTTCCCTATTACTGTGAAGGATAGCATCTTCCTGGTTATCTACGCTCACACCCTAGCTGTCATCCTTGACTCCTCACTTTTTTTAATCCTCCCTCCTTCATCCAATCAGTTGCCAAGTCCTATGGATTTTTCCTTCTTAACATGTATGCCCCTTCTCTCCTCTGATACTGTCATCACCCTATCCTTATTACCATCACCAATCCTTATTACCTCATACCTGCACTATTGCAACAGCCTTACCCTGCCTCAAGTCTCTCCCCATTCTAAACCATCCTCTGCTTAGCTGTCGAATTGATCTTCCTGAAACATGCATCTAACCATGTTATTGCTCCATTCGATAAATTTCAATGGCTCCCTATTACCTCCAGGATAAAACACAAAATCATTTGTTTGCCTTTTAAAGCTCTTCATAACCTAGCCCCTCCCACCTTTCCACACTCTGTTATCTAATGACATTGACTTCCTTGATATTCTTCACATGAAACACAGCATCTACTGACTCAAAGCAGTCCATAATGCCTAGGATCCTCTACCTCTCCATCTCCAGCCTCCTAGGTCTTAGGTCTCCATCAACTCTGAGCTTAAGTCCCAACTTCTGACTTTCCCAGTCCTCCTTAGTCTTAGGGTCTTCCTTGTGGGATTATCTCTAATTTATCATATGTGTGTATATGCATATGCATATGCGTACATGTGTGTGAGTGTATCTTGTTTGTACTCCCAATTTATAGAGAGTGTATGTGTGTGTGTGTGTGTGTGTGTGTGTGTGTGTGTGTGTGTGTACCTTGTTTGCACATAGTTGTTTTCATGCTGTCATCCCCATTAGAATGTGAACTCCTTGGGAAGGGGACTGGGTTTTGTTTTGTTTTGTTTTTTGCCTTTCTCTGTATTTCTTGCATTTAGCACAGTGGTGTCTGATAGCTCAACCTGAAAGCAAGACTTCAGCAAAAGTCTGCCAATGAAATGTCATTCTTCCTCACAAAAAAAAAATCAAGATCTCTACTGTATTAAGATTAGCTTTTCTAGTCAAATCATAATTTCATGAGAAGTTTTACAACAGTAAGCAGTACAAAGTACAACTCAATCAAATTCAAACTAGCATACTTACTATGAGTTTGGAAATAAGACTACATTCGTGATTTCCCCCTATTTTCAAGAATACTTTAGTTATCTCTTCCCCAAAAGTGGTACCAACTTTTCTAACTAGAACAGCTAGCATTTATAGAAATGGTGCTTTAATACTTGCAAAGTGCTTGACAAATATTAACTCATTTTATCCTCAAAACAATTCTGAGAGACAGTTGTTAATATTTCCATTATACAGACAAGGAAGCTGAGGCAGAGATCAAGTGATTTGCACAGGTCATAAAGCCAGTAAGTGTCTGAGGCTGGATCTGAAATCAGATCTCCCCAACTTTAGGCCCAGCTGCTCTATCCACAATGCCACCAGCTCCCTCTATCTAGTTTCCTTACCATCTACTACCCAAGCTGGTAGACAACCTTCTGTTATACTAATTTTATCAAAGCAGACTCTCAAATGATTTTCCCAACCCAATTTTTCTTATCTAAAGATTCATCCTTCAAACTACTGCCAAACTACTCCTCTTCGTGGCATTGATTATGTTGTTCCCCTAATTCTCTATCTACTACATAAAATTTAAATTTCTTATGACATTCAAGCCCCACTGCCCTAACCTGGTAATACTCTCTACTTCTCCAACCTTATTTCAGATTCCCTTCCAGTCTGCCATACTCCAATTCAACTAGCTGCCAAACTATCTACTAACACTATGTATCTAGCATTTACACCTTCATTCATATCACTCTCTTTGTCTGGAATGACACCTCCCCTGCCCTCATATGATCTTTAAATCCTTCAAGTTCATCTCAAAAGTTACCTACTCCATGAAACCTTCACTGATTTCGTCAGTCAGAAACAATCCTTACTTTCTCTAGTCTCATGCTTTGTACGTCTGTGTTGTTCTTATTATAGTCTCTTCTGAATTACAGTTACTATACAGATAATGTGGACGATAAACATAATTTGTCTTGTGTGACATTCTCCTTGCTAAAGTGTAAGCTTCATGGACCATGTTTCAATTTTATTTGTATCTCCCCAAGCACCTAGCACGGTATTTTGTCACAATGTAAGCGACTGATAAATGGCTGCTGATTTAATTTTAGGAAGTCAAAGAGAAGCAAAAGAGCAAGGCATCATAAACCTGTTGATACTAGTATTTTACAAATAGTTACTTTTCTATTTGTAAGGCTATACTCTTCATCGAGTCCCACTTTTTTCCCCCCAACACTAGCTGAATACAAATAGCACTGTTACCCATATTCCCTCACCCACTTAAGGCAGTAAGAGAACAGAAAAGGATAAATTATGAAAGTCTTACTCAATAAGCAAAGGAAAATAAACCAAAAATTCTGGAACATCCACAACGCCTTCCAAGTTGAAATCATATTTGCATCCAAATAAAGGATATTTTCCCTTCTTCTGAAACCTTACAGTGTAGACTTCATTTCCAAATGATTCTGTTTCTGATGCCTCAAGCCGTTTTCTGTAAGTTACCAAAAAAGATAAAATTAGATTGACAAATTTATTCTAATCATTCATTTGAAAATAATAAATCTCACAAAAAGCTAATAATTTAATTAGTTTTGTGTATACTGGTTTTGTGCTACTTTCAGAGGCAATATAGTTGAATACCAACTTTATTACCACTAAAAATATTAGAGGCAGAGATAATACTCCAGGTCCAAATGGCTTCAATCTCTCCTACATTTGATCTACAGGCAGAATGGCACTACAAACTCCAGTTCTGTACATGAGCAATCCATATAAACAGGCAGGTCACGAAAGTTTGTTTTCAGTTCAGTATTTTAAATTTGGGAGATAGAAACAATGTTATAAAGGATAAATTAGGTTGTGAAATGAGATAACAAAACTAAATAACCCATAATTATACCTTAAGTGTAGTATAATTTCAAGTATACATAACCACTGTTTTATAACACTGTTCCTATAAGAAAACAGGTTCTGAAGGGATATCAGGAAAGGATCTGCCCCACAAGCGACCAGTGATGGAGACAGGTGTCAAGTTCCTATCATATGAAAAGGCTGATAACTTTTAAGCCCCAGTAATTTGTCAAAACTACATCCACATAAGAAAAAGTAACATTCGAGGTCAATGATTAACCCAGTATTCTCAATCAAGAAACAACTCAAGATGATTCCATCTAAACCTCTATCCTGGGATCACATCTTGTCCTTTAAAGCCACTGCTTTTACCTTTGCCTAGAATAAACTCTTCCCTCAACCCATTCTTTTACAAATCCCATCTTCATGACGTATTCTCAGACCTCAACTACTATGGTACTTCTATGCAACTCAATTACAGTTATAATTAAGTGATTATTATATCCCCCGTACTGTTATATATTGTTCACAAATCTACAACTTGTCTTCCTGATATGATTTTAAACTTCTTGAGGTCAAAAACTGTGATATGTTTATTTTTATCCAATACAGGAATCTAGCACTATATCCTGTACATTGCAGGCACCCAGTAATATTTGCAAATTGACTGGGTGGTCAACAGCATTAAGTGTTAAGAGGACATAAAAAAAGAAGACCAAGAAAAAAAGTCACTGGCTTTGGCAAGATCATTTGGAAATCTGAAACCATTATAGACAATTCAATAGCAGAGAATAAAACTTAGATTTATTATCTGCTTCCAGCATCCAAGTAGATTTTCTTTATTAAACGACATCCTGGGTAGAATGGTGTTTTATAATAAACAACAGATTTGAAATCAAGATGATCTGGGCTGGAATCCTGTCTCTGCTACTTACTACCTGTGTGACCTCTGGCAAGTCATTTAATTTCTCTGGGCCTCAGTTTCCTTTCATCATGACAGAATTAATATTATGATACAACTTGTCTAATAACTTTAAAAGTTTATAATGCACCTTCTTTTAAAAAGTCACTAGTTTATTTGAGGCTCACAACAACTATGTGAGAAAGGTACTACAAAAAGTAGTTACTACCTTTCCAATTATCCATGTTTACAATACCCACCAGTCATCTTCCACTTTACAGCCACCCCATATATCCAATCAGTTGTCAAGATTTCTCAGGTCTATCTAATATTTCTCACATCCATTCCCATCCCTCCATTCACTGGACAACACCCCAGTCCAGGCTCTCATCACCTCTCATGTGGGACATTACAACAGAACACTAACTGGTCTCCCCATTTTAACTCTCCCCTTTTCATTTCATCCTCCACAGAGCTTAAGTAATTTTCTTAAAGTGCAAGTGTAAATATGTTCTCCTCCTGTTCAAGAAATTTCAGTGATGCCCTATTTCCTATAGGGTCAGACCCTTAGCACTGAAAGCCCTTCACAACCTTGCTCTAAAATGCATTTCCTAGCTATTATTATGCATCACTCTTCACACACTCTACAGCCACTCAACAGTTCCTTGTACAAAACATTCCATTCTCCACCTTTATGCCTTGGCACACATTACCTGTGCTTGGGAAGCCCTCCTTAGTCACCTATTCCTCCTTGTTTCCTTCAAAGCTCAGCTCAAACACATCCCCCTATGTGGCTCCTTTACTGATGTCTTCAGCTTATGATGCTTCCCTACAAAAATTACCTTGTATTTACATGTGTGCAAGTTATCTTCTCCTATAGAAAAGAAGCTCCCTGAGTGCAGGGATTGCTTAATTCTTTTCTTTGTAATCCCCAGTGGGCAGCAGAGTACCAAGCACACTGCTTAATTAATACTTGCTGATGATTCTTCTCGTTACAAAAGAGGAAAAACATGCTTAGAAAGTGCTGTTCAATGGGGGGGGGGGGGGGGGGGGACTGGCTCTAGAATCAGAAGACCTGGGTTCCAATTCACCTCTGACACTACCAGTGTGACATGTGGGAAATCAATCAACAAAGTCCCTACTACATGCCAAGTTTGGGGGATACAAAATACAAAGACTGAAATATCCCAATTCAAAATGAGCTTATATTCTAAAAGTCACAACCTCCCTGGGCCTCTGCTTCTTCATCTGTAAAATGAGAGAATGGAACTAGATGCATATGATGTCACACTCAGTCCTAGATCTACACTCTCTATGAAAAATTAAGTGACCTGCCCAGAGACACACAGTTATCAAGTGCTAGAAGAGATGAAACCAAGTCTTTCTGATTCAAAGTCCAGTCAATTGTCTATTATATTACACTACCTTTCATGAACTAACAAATACAGATTAATAAAAATAATATGAAGTTTATGGGAAGCCAAAGTATCTTACAACCTGGGGAAATCTGACACCGTTTGGTGTATCTTCTTTCAAAATACTTAAAACAAGTTCTGCCTTCATTTAATTCTTAGCATGCAAATGTAATTGCTATAAGTGTTTTCTAGATAGCTCTTCTTTTTCTTCTTCTTTTTTACCTTGAGAGCAAAAAATAAAAGAGCAGCAGAGAGACAGAAAACAGAAAGGAAAATACAGGGAAGATACTCAACAGAAATGAAGGTGAAGGTCAGCTACAGTAGAACTAAGCACAAAGCAGTTTTAATTTCAGTTTTACTGGATATGCTGTTTTTCACTGTAAGTCTATATATAGTAATGGCTGTTAAATCATGTCATCCTGATTGTGGCTCTTCTGTACCTGAATTCTTTTTTTCTGGCTGCTTACATATTTTTTCTTTGAACTAGAAGCTCTATATTTTGACTATAAGGTTCCTAGGGTTTCTTTCAGGAGGTGATTGGTGGGTCCTTTCTATTTCCACTTTGCCTTTTGATTCTAAGCAATCTAGGCAGTTTTTGTTTTTTATTATAGTACTATTTTTTAACATTTGTTTTCTTTTTCTTTTTTAATTTTGAGTTCCAGATTCTCTCCCTCCCTCTCATCTCCTCCACAACCCACTGACAAGGCAAATAATATATCAATTATACACATGAAATCAGATAAAAAATATCACCAAAAAAAAAAAAAGGCAAAAAAAAGATGAGAAAACTATACTGCAATTTGAACTCAAGTTCATCAGTTCTCTCATTGGAGGTGGATAGCATTTTCTCATTACAAGTCCTTTGGAATTGTCCGGAATCATTGTGTTGATCAGAGTAGCTAAGTCTTTCACAGTTAATCATAATTACAACACTGCTGTTACTGGGCACAATGATCTCCCAGTTCTTCTCACTTCACTTTGCATCAGTTCATACAGGTCTTGCCATGCTTTTTTTCTCCCCCCTGAAAACACCACCCTTGTCATTTCTTATGCCACCACAGTATTCCATCACAATCATATGCCACAGCTGGTTCAGCTATGCCCCAACTGATAAGCATCCCCTCAATTTCCAATTCTTTGCCACCACACAAAGAGCTGCTATAAACACTTCTGCACATATAGGTCCTTTCCCTTTCTACTTGATCTCTTTGGGGTAGAGACCTAGTAGTGGTGTTGCTGGGTCAAAGGGTATGCACAGTTTTATAGTCCTTCGGGTATAGTTCCAAATTTCTCTCCAGAATGGTTGGATTAGTTCACAACTTCATGAACAGTTCTAATCAATTTGCTATAGTGATATTCTACAAACTGTGCTCTTTTAAATCAGCAAACTGAGGCTCAACACATAACTATTCTAAGTGCATATTCTAAATAAAGATCTGATGACTTATTTAACTAATGCCTTTAACTAGAGCAATGAGCATTCCTGAAGTCCAAAGCCACAATGCTGCTGCTTGCTTCTGAACTTGTTCCTCCCTAGGTGTATGGCCTAGGGCCCACTCCCAAGAACTCTACTGGATCTTTGACCTAAGACTGAGTAGCAGGTAACAAGGCTATCAGCTTGCCCTAGTGTACAGTCAATCTCTCTGTGAGTGCTGGAGTACTCCACATGGATAAGCCTGATCAAAATCCCTCTTCCCATTCCCCCATCCCTAATATCTGCAGATCTGTCTGTCCCCCTATGCCGATGAGGGTTGAAAAAATGACACTGACTTTTTCTTGGATTTTCCTATCAGGATTATGTCTGGTACATTTTATAGATCAGTTCAGAAGAGTTGGGGGGAGGGGGGGGTTACTAATCTACTTTACATGCTCTACTGACTTTCCCACTTTCTTCTTTCAGTTAACATGACTACAGTTCAGCAGAAATGCATCTTGAAATGTAAAGGGCATGCTTTGGTTTTAACACTTTTCTACCTTTAATTTCCCATTGACTTCTCTAAAATAAGAATGTGGTTAAATCAAAAAATAAAAAGAAAACCATTAGATGGCTTCCTTCCTATATAAAGAAATCTCAGAGTTTCCTTTGTTTTATCACATGTCAAATGATGAGACTAGCCAAGTGCATGAAATCTGACACATATCAAATAATCAAGGAAATATTACAACATGTCAATAAAACCAAAGATAGTAAGCAATCACACAAAATTTCTAATCAATTTCCTATATTGATATTCTACAAACTGTGCTCTTTTAAATCAGCAAACTGAGGCTCAAAACGTAACTATTCTAAGTGCATATTCTAAATAAAGATCTGATGACTTATTTAACTAATGCCTTTAACTAGAGCAATGAGTATATTTCTATTCCATTTGTTAGATCTTAATACCACAGAACATTAACAGAAAATCATGCTGAAAAACAACATGTTTAAAAGTGTACATATTCTGGACGTTTCATAAACGATCACACGCAAAAAAAAAATACTTACATGAGCTCAAAGCTATTTGGTGTAGTACCAATAAAATATCCTCCAGGGCAAAGTTTCTCACAAGCATTTCTGAGCATCATATCAGCCTGTTCATAAGTCTCAAATGAATAATGATATACAAACTGACAGCTGCAAATGTCAAAGCACATCTCTGGATCACGAAATTTATCTGCCAAGAGCTCCTGAAACAAATTCAAACAGGTTAAGAATTCAAACTATAAAAGCCTAGACATAAAACTTTCTCCAAATTGAAAACAGAATTTGAGAGTCTAGAAGGTAAAAAATTTCAAAAGCTTTCCAAAGAACTTAAGAAATATAAATCAAACACTGCAACAATATGAGAAGAGACTAGGAAAATTACTATTTTAGAAGATAAATTGTTAATCAGATAAACTTTCCAAATTGTAGTTAGAGGGGGAAAGAAGAGATTGTTAGAATCACTCTATTAGAAAGGATATTAAATAAGCTAGAAAATACCCAATGGAGGGGGGACCACAGTGCCTTACAAATAGGCACCTGAATGTTTGCTGAATGAACAACCAAGATAGGAACAGGGTTTAATTAAATGCATGCCACACAAGTATAAGATGAAGGAACTGGGGATGATCACACTGAGAAGACTCCAAGATATAATAAAAAGAAATTTTTCAAGTATCTGCAGGGTTATCATTTGGAAAAGAACAGAATTAGGACCTCTTCTGCCTGACCCTAGACTGGGCAGAAATAAGAGCAAAGGGTAGAATATGCAGAGGCACATTTGGGGGAGATTTAAGAAACAACTTCTACTAATGAAAACAATTCAGAGGTTGTATGGGCTGTCTTCTTCACCGGAAATCCTGAAGCAAATGCTAGATGAACCTCTGGGTCAGGATGTTTTGAATGCATTCCTGTCCACAGATACTACTACTACCTTGCTCAGACTAAAGGACTCGGGATGATGTCCAACCAAGGTTCTACGTGAGATGATAAATATCAGAAGTTTATACAATGACCACTGAATGGTAATTATTCTGTCATCAATGATTTCCCCTTGTAAGGTTATTATAAAAATGAATTTAAGGTTTGAAATGGATATGACTGAGGCAAAAAAAAATCTTCAAAGAATATAAAAACTAAAGTACAATTAACTTGAGATTATTTAAATAACTGATAAAACTTAAAAATACTAAAATCAATTCCAGTGTTGGGACAACACTTAAAACAAGAAACAATACCTTTGAGCTGTCTGCAGTTACAAATTCTGCACTGAAAATGTACTCATGGTCACGACAGTGATTCTTCATGTCAGCATAGCGCTGCTGACACTGTTGGATGGAAACATCAGCAATATCTACACGGAAAAGCTTCCAATTAAAAGTTATTACAGATCAAAACAAAGAGTGATAGCAAAATGTAGAGGCAGAGTGATGACACAAATCTCAAACAGTAATCTTAACTGTGAATCTTGGTATATAATATAGCTTGGGTACAAAACCAATTCTATTTCCTTCAAAATAAAAAAGAGGAAAAAGCCTTCATTCTTATGCAAAGTTTATTGATTTTTAAAAAGGGACAAGAAGTTCTTAAGAGGCAAAGCTTACTATTTAAGGACTTAAAAGAATCAGCACAGAAAATATGAGTCTTGGTTTCAAAGACTACGGTCCAATCAAAGTTATAGTAAATAGGAATTTGCTGAAGAGGAAAGCATTGTGTCAGTCTGAATTCCAATAGGACATTCTCTGCACAGTATTCATTACCCCATTCTCACAGATATCCACCTTTGATTATATTCTGCTTAACATCACCATTCTTCACAAAACTACTAAAATGATCTTCCTAAAACATGAGACTGTATATAAGTTTGAATTGTCAAAACAGTGAGTAGTTCCTTGATACTTTCAACACAGAATTACAAACCTCTGAGCCTGGTTATTTTTAATCCACCACTATGTGGCTCCAAACTACCTTTCTACATTTCTTTATCTCTTGCCTCTGTCTGCCCTCTATGTTTAGAATGCAATATTTCTAGTCTTTACCTCTCTGAATCTTTACCTACCCTGTCCCCAAGTTGCTAGTGTTCTCTTCCTCAAATGATCTTGCATTTATTAAATAAGGTGTTCTCTTTCCCAGTGGAAATGCTAGCTCTTTAAAGGTAAGCAGGGACTATCTATCATTTTTGTCTTTGCCTCAACAGAGCCTAGTATGGTACCTTGAATGTAGATAGTAAGAGGCTAAAAGTTCAATTAAATAAAAAATCTTAAGGCTAAACTAATCTCTAACTTCTTCATTATTTACACCATCTCCTTTTGCCATTGTGACCAATGGCATGCGTTTACAACACATCTGGCTATGCCTGAGAATTTAGTACCAGGCCACAGAAAAACATAAATGGCCCACAATGGGAAAAAAGTTATTACTTTTTCAATATCTTACTTTAAAAGCATCCCTAAAGCCTTAGTGTATTAATTGAAAGTACATTAGAGTCTCACTATAACTTGGTCTCTGTGATTCATGTCTTAACATTTTAATTATGAGGTCCTTGCATCATTTCCAGTTACCTGACTCAGCAGAACTGTTTCTAAAACAATTTATTTCCTCTTACCAGTACAAACTAGTTTGCTAATTTTGCCCTTTTTCCACTTGAGCAAATCTCCACCTTTCCCACATCCCAGGTCCAACACAGTGATGTCACGTTTCTTTTTCTGTCGCACTTTTTCTAAAAATTCCCCTGAAAAGAAAAAAGAAAAAGTAAACCAAATACTTCACTTAACTTTTGCTAAAGCATTGATTGTTAAGAACTTTCACCTGTAAAAGACACATGAATCATTACATGTTTAATTTGCAACTGAAAAATAAATTCAAAACTACAAAAATAAAGTTGTCCCTAAATGGGACAATTAAAAATCATGTGTTTGGGGGAAAGCATTTTGAAAAATTGTCTTAAAATTCTCTTCAATTATATACATCTCAAGTCATGATGTGTAAAATGATTATTTTTTTCCCCCAAAGTGAGGGAAGAACTAGCAATTCATGAATTGTGTTTAAATCTTTTACTCCCAAAGCTATATTAATACTTAACTAAGGACTTCTACTTCAACTCAGTCTTTTGTAAATCAAAAGTTATGACTTCAATATTAGGTTTGAATTTTTAAAAGTCTTATTTTTCAATGGAAATAGGAGTTTTTCCAATGATACTTTCATGTGTTAACAGTCTGATTAAAGTAGGAGTCTCCTGGGAACAGAATGAAAGCTAAAGAGAATTCCAAGGATTAGTCAAAAAGTGACAGTCTAATTAACACTGTATCATGATCTTTTTTTTAAATTTTAATTATTTTTAGTTTTCAATATTCACTTCCATAATCTTTTGAGTTTTAAAATTTCTCCTTCTCCCCTCCCCAAGATGGCGTGCAATCTCATATAGAATCTACATATGCATTCTCATTAAACATATTTTCACATTAGTCTTGTTGTAAAAGGGAACCAGGAGAAAGAAGACACAAAACAAAACAAAAAGAAAAAAGAGAGAGAGACAGAGCAAATAGTATCCTTCCATCCACATTCAGATTCCATAGTTCTTTCTCTGGATGTGGATAGCATTTTCTATCATGAGTCTTTTGGAGTTGTCTTAGATCCTTGCATTGCTGAGAAGAGCTAAGTCTATCATAGTCATGCCATAATGTGGTTGTTACTGCGTACAATGTTGTCCTGGTTCCGCTCACTTCACTCAGTGTCAATTAATGTATGTCTGTCTAGGTTTTTCTGAAGTCCACCTGCTCATCATTTCTTACAGCACAATAGTATTCCAATATTCATATTACACAACTTGTTCAGCCATTCCCCAATTGATGGGTACACCTTTAATTTCCAATTCTTGGCCACCACAAAAAGAGCTGCTATAAATATTTATGTCTATGTTTTTTATGATCTCTTTGGGATACAGACCTAGAAGTGGTATTGCTGGGTCAAAGAGTATGCACAGATTTATAGCCCTCTGAGCATAGTTTCAAATTGCTCTTCAGAATAGTTGGATCAGTTCAACTCCACCAACAATGCAATAGTGTTCCAATTTTCCCACATCTTCTCCAACATTTATCATTTTCCTGTTCTGTCACGTTAGCCAATCTGATAGGTGTGATATAGTACCTCAGAGTTGTTTTGATTTACATTTCTCCAATCAATACTGATTTACAGCATTTTTTCATATGACTATAGATTGCTTTAATGTCTTCATCTGAAAATTGCCTATTCAGATTCTTTGACCATTTATCAACTGGGGAATGACTTGTATTCTTATAAATTTGACTTAGTTCTCTATATATTTTAGAAATGAGGCCTTTATCAGAGACAAAAATTCTTTCCCAATTTTCTGCTTCCCACCTAATCTTGGTTGCACTGGCTTTGTTTGTGCAAAAACTTTTCAAATTAATGTAATCAAAATTATCCATTTTGCATTTTATAATGTTCTCTGTCTCTTGTTTGATCATAAATTCTTCTGTTTTCCATAAATCTGACAGGTAAACTACTCCATGCTCTCTCGGTCTGCTTATAGTATCAGCCTTTATATCTAAATCATGTACTCATTTTGACTTTATTTTAGTATACGGTTTAAGATGTTGATCTATGCCCAGTTTCTGCCATACTATTTTCCAGTTTTCCCAGTAGTTTTTGTCAAATAGTTCTTATCCCAAAAGTTGGGTTATTTGAGTTCATCATACAGATTACTATAGTCATTGACTAACCTAGAAGCTCTAGGAATAGCTTAACTTCAGAATTCAATGAATATTACAGAGAATAACTTCCACAAAATTTGCACTAGCTATCTTCTTGATGCTACAGCAGAAATTGACACAGGAAAAAAATCTAAGTATATGACCAAAATATGAGCAGAGAGCTTGATAAAAGGTTAATAAACTGATCAGGGCCACCATATAAAGAAAGCTTAAGCCAAGCAAACTGAGAAGCTGTAAAGACATATACAAGTGACTATAATACAAAAAATTTAAGAGTAATATCATAGAATCATAAAGTTGGGAGAGCTCTTAGGGGATAGCTAATCTGAACTGTAACAGGAGACTGCAGGGAAGGGGGAAGAAAGAGTGAAATACAAATGACCAAAAATTCCAAACGATCTTTTTCTTGGTAGTATCTTTTTTTAAAAGCTCCCTACAAACAGTACTTCATGCTTTGAAGCATAATACTAAGTGAGCATTTTCCCTAAAAATCAAGTACAGTCTCCAATTTATCACTTTATCTACATTGACTAGAATCCAGAATGCATTTTTTCCCCACAGAAACTGTTATGCCTGTGAATGAGATTTTGTGGAAGTTTTAATGGGCTGTTTTTTGTTTCAACACTAGACACCAACTCCCCTAACCCTAGAAGGTTCTGTTGGCTAGTCCACAATTGCCTGTTCAACTTGCAGTGTAGCTAAAGTATAGGGTACTGATAACAACCTCCAAGTGCAACATTGTCTCTAAGGAAAATATTTATGGGACAAAACACCCTCCAATCCCACCACATCTCTGCTGATGGAAGAGGATGCTCAAGCAATTACATTGTCTATGCTATTGCTCCAGAAATTTAACCCAACTGCTTCATGGAGATTTAAATAGATGCTTTCTCAGCTACGAACTCAAGCTACATTCGGTCACTAACATCATAGAGAATATCAGTCAATAAATGTAAACAAAGGGAGCACTGCACCTCCTTTTCAGAGATGATGGGCTTATTATTAACTGTTTTTTTTTCCCTCTAACATCTCACTATCAACTTAAGTCTCTGTTAATCCCTTCTTAGAATTAAAATTGTTAAGACCTGAGAGAAGTCACTGATCATTCTGGAAAGTTTAGCTTCAGATCTGAGTACACAAAAATTTTCTTAACTTTTAACTATACCAACTGTTTTAACTATACCAAAGTGTTTGTTGAATGGTCAATTATGTGAGAGGAAGATAAATAAAACATATAAATCTATAATATAAGTATGATAATCATACCAATGAGGACACTCTTCATCCAATTATTAAAGTTTCGAAGGTAAAAAATACGACTCTGGCTTCGTTTCTCCAAGCCAACCTCCTGAAGCTCATTGTAATGAGCAGCTACCACTGAGCCATGTCCTTCTTCTAAATGCTGAACACAGGAGAAAGCAGGACAATATTAAAACAAGTATAAAACTGAGAAAAATAAAGATTAATCTACACAAGTGCAGCCAAGTTTAAAATGTAGCTAAAAGTTACGAAATCCATTATTCATCAGCATGAATCCAGACTTCCTTTTTTATGCCATCCTGCTCCTCCTACTGCTTCACTCTCCAAACCATATCACCAGAGACTATTACTAGAATAAGCTATTTGCCAAACTGTCACCTTGTTTATGGTAATCTCCCCACCCCTACATCCCACCACACATATAATCTTTACCTTTTTTTTTCTAAGAACTATAATCAAATCACCACTATCATTAACAAACCTAGAAAGGCTATATTACTAGAACACTATTGATCCACTCAGTATCTTTGTGATTTCCCAGACCATGATATCCTTCCCTGGCCACTACTGCTACATATGTGTGTTGCATATACCCTAGGCAGCTAGCCAAGGGTGGCTAGAACACAGAGATTGAAAGTCCAAATCCCAACTCAACCACTTACTAGATATGTGACCTTGGGCATGTCACTTAATTTTGCTTCAGTTTCCTCATGTGTAAAATGGGAATAATAGGACCTACCTCCTAGGGTTGTCATGAGGCCCAAATGAGATATTAGTTGTAAAGAATTTAGCACATCGCCTGGCATAGGGTAGGCATCTAATAAATGCTTGTTCCCTTCCCTTCCCTCATTAGATTATAAACTCTTTGAGAAAAATGACTGTCCAGATCTTGTATTTATATCCCCATTGCTCAGCAGAGTACTTGGAACATGGAAGGCAATTAAATGCTTTTCATTAATTCATAAGAAAGAAGAAATGATCTTTTATCCCTTCTCAAATAAAAAGCATCTCTACTTTTAAAATTGTGTTTTCCTTGGTTTAACTAAATTTAGGTTTTAGAACATTAGAAGAACAACCCTTCTAAACTTACAGAGTTGAGAAAGAATGCAAGCACTTTAGAAAAATTAATATATTCAACAATAAACATTTTATTAAATGTTCTAAATGACTACTATGTACAAGGCACTGTGAAGTTACAGATGCCTAACTAATGAATAACACTGAAGTATAAAATGGCATCTATTTTTAAGTATGTTAAACTACAATACTGTAAAGGAATGTATATTTGGACTAAGTCTATATGGAGAAATATCTGTAATGGATTGTGATCCACTTTAAGCAAATCCAATGACTAAAAACAGAATTTATAAAACAAAGTAAATTTTTACTTTACTATTCACCACAAAACATGGTTCAATTCCAACTTGAAATGTTTAACTACCTATGTGCATCTGTTTAAAAAAATTCTAAGACTGAAAAATGTTATTTCAAAAACAACTTTACAATACCACATTTATTACATAAATTTAAATACAATTGTGGTACTTCATATACATGTAACCTCAATTTCAATAATCTGGATTTACTTAACATATTCTATAATATTAGGGTGCTCTTTATGAACACTCTATAAATACAGCTTTGTTACAGCAAAGCCAAAAAAGGTAATGTTAATGGTTCATTAATTATTATAAGCCCTAAGAAATCTTTCTTAATATAAAAACTGAATTTTCTAGTTCCTGTTTCCCTTGTATCTGAAGGCTAAGTGACATTCCCACATATCATCTTGATGAGAGCAGTGGTGTGCCAAGACAAAATAGCTCTCACTATGATGAATCCATTGGAGAATTTAGAATCAGGTCTTAGATGGTTAGGTAGATCATAAAATTTAAACTAACTTTATTTACTTTCATCTTAGGAAATCTAAAGCAATTACTCTAACATAATCAGCAAATAAGCCGACCTGTAACATCCATCATTGGTGTCAACAAGACTAGATTGTCTTGTGAAACAACCTCAAAAACTACATACTTTTGTTGCCTTAATTCCTTTCAGAGCAAACAGTGTAAAAAATAATTTGCAACTTTAAACTCAAATATAATAACTAAAAATTTCCCAAGATCAGAACTGATTATTTTGATTAGCTTTGGCAGGCACCAAACTGCAACACTGAGAAGGAATATGGAGAAAAAAAAAACAAATAAATGTTAACAGCTCTCTTAAAATCAAGTCAGAGGAGGAAAGAAAATACAGCTAATATGAATCATAAGTAACATTTTTAATTATTTAGTAGCTAAACCAGGGGTGGGGAACCTGCAGCCTTGAGGTCACAAGTGGCACATTAGGTCCTCAAGTGCAGCCCTTTGACTGAATCCTAATTTCATAGAACAAATTCCCTTAATAAAAGGATTTGTTCTTTAAAATTTGGACTCAGTCAAAAGGTCATACCCAAGGACCCTTGAGGCTCAGGTTCCCCACCCCTAAGCTAAACACTAGAAAAGCATGAGATTACAAAAGTAAAAAACAAAGAAGCTAAATAGTTCTTTTAGGAATTACAACAAGGAAATTAAAGTTGTGTTATACCCTTAAATAAATTTTAAAATCTAAAGATCTTAAAAGCATTAAACTTACTGTGCATTTTACAGGAACATCTTCACCTTCCAATTTTCTCTTTTTTGAAGCAGTGCCATCTCCACAACTAGAAGTATCATCTTTTGGATTATCATCAGTTTCTAACTTTGTCATTCGAGAAATGCCTTCTTCATCACCTGCTGCAGCTCTTTCCTCACGAATAATTTCATTATCTAACTTTCTTGTCTTTGATGGAGTGCCCTCTCCACAACTGGCAGTCTTAACTTCAGGATCATCCTGAAACTCTAGTTTTCTTTTTTTTGGTGTGCCTTCCAGAACACTGTCAGTGTCCTTTCCACCAGAGGATTCAATTTCATTAACGCTGACAGAGAGTTCTGTTTTGGAAACCACAGGTACCTCTTCATCTACAAAGATCTTTTCACAATCCTCTGTTTTTGCAGAATTTTCCATTTTGCTCAATGATTTGAATTTAAAGCTTTAGTTCATAAATAAAAGCTGCAAGAGCAAATATTTTACATTAAATATGCATAATGAATGAGAATTATCATTTCCAAATCCTGACTCTAGAGGTAGAGCCAAGATGGCAAATTAGAGGCAGCAACCCAGCTGAATTCTCCCAACATTCCCCTGCACACAACTTTAAAATAACACCTCAAATCAAATTTTGGAGTGGGACAGCCAACAAAAGGTACACTTCTCTGGCCTGAAAAAAACTAAGGAGGTTGGCAGGAGTGTTCTATGACACCACCAGAGTGGAGGTTTGTCTAGAGTGTGACAACAGCAACAGCAGCAGCAGCTTCAGGAGCTCTCAACCCAAAGACAGTAAGAGGGTTGGATAAGTGGTCAGAAAGAGATTACAGGAGACCTCAGGCAGGTACTTGCACAGGTACTTGCACATACACAGTTCCAGGTCACAGTTCCAGAGTGGAGAAAAATGTTTGTGGTCAGTCAAAAGGGAGCAGAGCCAAGAAGAGCAGTAGTACTTGTGACTGCAGGAGATTAGGGGCCCTTCCAGAGTAAAGACTAAGAGAACAGACAACACATCTATCCAGATCATGCTACCTTGGAAGGGCTGAAAACTTTCAGATCCTCAGAACTAGCTCTGAAAACAGTACAACAAAAAAGCCTGAAGCTTGAGACAATGTCTCTTCACTCCCAGGTGAGCAGAGGCCAACTTCAACATAAAGTTCAAAGTCAAGAAGTAGAGAATGCACAAACAACAAAAAATAAATAAATAAATAAATTGCTTGGCCATAAAAAGCTACTACAGTGGCAGGGAAGACCAAGACATATACTTAGAAAACAACAACAATGTGAAAACAGCTACAAGCAAAGCCTCAAAGAAAAATGCTAATTGGACCCAAGTCCAATAAAAATTCCCGCAAAAAGTCAAAGAACATAGTAGAGGAAAAATTGGTTAAAAAAAATAAGAGTAATGCAAGAAAATTATGAAAAGAGAATTAACAGCTTAGTAAAAGAGGCTCAAAAAAATTTAAGAAAATAATACTTTAAAAAACAGAATTGGCCTAAGGTAAAAGACCACACACAAAAACTCACTGGAAAAAAGAACTTCTTAATAAGCAGAACATATCAAATGGAAAAGGAGGTACAAAAATTCACTGAAGAAAATAATTCCTTAACAATCAGAATTAAGCAACTGGAAGCAAATGACTTCATGAGACATCAAACAACGTCCAAAAAATGAAAAAAAAAAATTAGAAAATGTGAAATATCTCATTGAAAAAACAAGTGACCTAGAAAACAGATAAAGAGATAATTTAAGAATTATGAGACTATCTGAAAGCTATGATCAAAAAAAGAACCTAGAATCCTATTTCATGAATTTTTTTAAATGCCCCAATATCTTAGATCCAGAGGATAAAACAAATTGAACAAAGCCACCAATTACCTCCTGAAACAGATCCCAAAATGGCCAAATTCCAGAGCTCCCAGGTCAAAGAGAAAATATGTGACTGACCCCTAAATCTTTCTCCACTGAGCTCTATTTCTGTATTTTTCAATCATTTTTAAATCAATTTTAAGTTCTCTAGGTGGACTTGTCACAAGCATCTCAATTTCAGGTCTGAAATTTAACTGCTAATGGCACTACCAATTTCCTTATCTTCCTTGTAGTTCTCTCTACCCACCCATTTAATCAATCATCAAAAAATCCACCCTCTTTTCTCTCATAGCCTCTTCCCTCTTTATTCCCATTACAAATAACCTAGCTCTAGTCCCTATTATTTTTCCCTACACCTCCACAATAGTTTAACTCTTTTCATTGTTTCCTTCAAGGTATTAACAAGGACCAGATCCTGGGCCATCACCATCTGTCTTGACCTGTGTCTCACCATTGAACTTCCTTGACTAAGAGAGAATGAGGCTGACAACTTCGAGCAGCTCTGCCCCACTTCATACACAATTTAAGAGCAAGTCAAGACATTACCCTCAAGATGTCATTGATCCTCCCTGAGAAGGAAGGATGAATACCAGGGGTTTTGCATGAAGTCTCCACACAGAGGGAGAAGGAATTCCTGAGCAGGTGTTGTGAGTTAAAACCTTTTTACACACATGCCTCACTAGGATAATGGCTGAACTTGTGAACTAGGTTGACTGAACTTTTTTTATTAACTGTTTTTACCATGTCATCTAAGAGAAGTAGTCCTCTCAGGGGACCCAACCTGTCAATTTAAGCAGATGCGGAATGCTGCGCTGGCTCATTTTCTTTCTTGCTTTCTTTCATCTTTATTTTTCTTCCTCCCCCTCCCCCCAAAAAAAGCTTATAACAATTTAGTTTTGGTCAGCTTGGATTCATTTTTTACTTCTTGAAATATACCTCTGAAAAGACAGGCTTTTAAAAGTCTATTTTTAATGGAGCTACCAGACTCCACTTCAAAACCCAAAACACTTAGGCTTTCCTACAAGAGCCAACAATGGCTCCAACCCAAGCCTCAACGACCCATTGTTTAGCTTTTGATGGCTCAGAGTGTAAACTGCAATTATTTTCTGTTCCTGTCAGAAACTCAGGGGGTCTTCCCCCTTCTAGATTGATATATTTGTGATGGCAAATGGAGCCATCTTTGGTCTCTACTCAGACCATAGACCTTAGTCATTGAATGGGTGTGGCTTCAGACAAACTGAGACCTAGGAAAGACCTTAATTTAGAAAGGGGAAGGTCACCCACTATATTTCGGGCCATCACCAGTTGTCTTTATTTTTGTCTTGCTATTGGACTTTGATGACTCTGGAGAAGAGAGTGAGGCTGAGACTTTAAGAAGCTCTGCCCCAGTCATATTCAATTCATCAATTCATCACCCTCCAGATGTTATGGGTCTTCACTTTAAAAAATAAACAAACAAAAAAAAAAAAAAAAAAAAAAAAAACCCAGGGGCCAGGATAAGCTTCTCAAAGCTTATGTCTACCTAAATCATTCCTTTTGATTAAACAAAAAAAAAATCCTTCAAAGCCTTCCCAATATTTATTCAAAACACCAAATTTCCTAAAAAAGAGGAAGACTTCCACATTCTGACCCCCTAATCAGTCTCCAAATGGGACTGAACATGCCATGAATTCTCTGCCTCCCCAGGTTACTGATTCCACTGTTCTTTCTAGATGGAATTCTCCTCCAACCTTTAAACTTCTACTCATCATTATTCTAAGCCTAAATCCAAAACAAAAACAAAAACATTTGTGGCAATAATCACCCTCCCAGAAACTTTCAAAACACTTCTTCCCTTTACTTGGTTTTTATAACCATGACTCCCACAGTGGTAAGTAATCTCTCCCTTTGTAATGTGCACTTTTCCCAGCATAACGTACTGTGATTTTTCCCCCACAAGCATGTAACTTTCTTATGACCAGGTTCTTAGCTATCTTTTTGCTGTTCACAGGGTTTTGCACAAAACAGGTCCAAAATACCAAAATACCAAATCCAATCTCTAATTTACAGTTGAAAACTTTCAGTCAAATTAGATTTGAGAGTAAGAATTTTTTTAAATGTTAAGGAGTTGAAAAAGGATATCAGAAGTTTTATTGGTTGTGAATTTCATTTATAGGGCCTGTCCTCTTTTTTCATTTCCACAGATAAAGAGTTTACCAGACCAAAAAAATGTTTCAAGAATGAATGATTTAAAAAAAAAAAGAATTAATGACTTTAAATGTAAGGGAGAGTACTTAGCACATCTTGGAGACAAGAATTAAAGCTTCAATAAAAGTTCTCCCACTACTATTGTAGTGGAATTATGGTTCAAGAACTTGCCACAAAAGCCCTGGCAAGTAGGGGGAGGATAAACTCGAGCCACAAAAAACGTTCCGGGTGACCAGAGCAAACAAATAGGAGAACAAACCCTACACGGGAGCCATGACGTCACGTCTCAGGCACTATCCCTTTAAAGCTTTCACCCCCGAGACCAAGGTGCAGCCGAGCCCCAGCGCCGGAGTCCGCACGGGCCCACAGGCTCCGCGCTCGAGTCCGCCAGGCCGGGGTCCCCTGCTGCCCTCCGCCGCTAGCCCAAAGAAGGAACAACCAGTCGGGGACCACACTGGGGGCGTCCCCCAGCCCGCCCCCTCTCTCAGAGCCGTACTTAAAAGACAGGACCGGAAGCCGCGGGCTCCGCTCCTCCGCCACTGTATTCCCCGGCTCTCACTGCATTTCCGTTCCACTCGTGTTCCCCAACCAAGGGCTAGAAACTTATCCTCACCGGCTCTCCCCACGCCGCAGCCGCCCCTCGCGCGTGGCCCGGACCGAACGCGAGCCCCGCCCCTCGGAGCACGGACACACACGCACCTCTCCAACCAGACTCCGATCGTTCACCGCGATCCAGCGGCACCCACCCAGGCGGCTCCGGGGTCCGGCGCTCGCCCTCCCTCGGGGCCACCTTTGCAGTAGCCGGCTCAACCGCCGCGCGCGCCCAGCCAACGTTACGTCCGACCCCCTACAAGGACCACCGACTTCCTTCTCCGCCACAAAACACAATCAGTGCGGGGCCGAGCAGTAGGCAAGGTGCGCAACGAAAGCATAGTAGAAATGCAGCTCAGGATAAGCGATGCATACTCTACCTCCGAGACGGCAAGTGTCCCCAAGTGGCGTAGAGCGAGAGTACTGGGCACGCTGAAGCTGGAAAAGGTCCGTACCTCCGCCGTAACACTTACCTGACGAAAGCTTTCCGCCATTCTGTTTGCGGAAGTAGTAATTGCTCCACGCTACGGATCTGACGCAACTTCCTGGAGGCGGGGAAAAGTCATCCTTTCCACAGAACGCATGCGCTTCGCGTTTCCTCCACCATTCGCACTTGGAGAGAAGAGCTCCGTGAGGATTTGTTCTTAAGTGAACTACGTTTCCCAGGGTGCTGGGTGCGGGCCATTGCCTCCGAGGCTCAGAACTGGGCACCCGGCAGTCGCAAGCACGTTTCGAGTGGGCGAGGCTGGCTGAAGAGAGCGAATGGCCGCCTGGGTCTGGGGAGGTTGAGGGGAGGCCTGGCCACACTGGCTTCAGCGGGAACCCCGGGGGGAGTTCGTCTCCTATCAGTGATTGCCCCGAGACAGCAGCACGGGAAAACCTGCCCTGTCAGTGCTTGCGGCCACGGACCCAACGTCCTCCGAGGTACCTCGGCCCCTGGGCTTCCCGGGGCGGGAGAGGGGAGAGGTGGAGGGGGCGTCGCTGCCCCCCCGGCAGTGGGGAGAGGTTGGAGCCGGAGCCAGCGCTCGTGGCCAACTGCTTTAGGCGAGCCTGTGGGGGAAGGGCACGACCTGCCCTGGTACCGAAGCTAACAGCCCCGCGGCCCTCCCTCTCTCCTTCCTCCTCACTCCTCTTCCCCCTCCGCCCTCCTTCCCTCTCCACCGGAGCAGAGTTCTTGTCCTTTTTCCTCCTTATGCCCTTTGCTCTGTCGCTCTCCTCTCCCGTCCCTTTTCCCGGTCATGACATGGACAGGGCGCCCCTAGAAGTTTTCTGTTGTTATTTTATTTGATTTTTGCCAAGGACTGGCAGTTCCTCGCCTCCCCCTCCAAGAACATAGGCCGACCACTCGGTTTTTGAGTTGCCACCACCCCCCGGCCTCCGTAGAGAGGGACTGCCTCTGATGGGGCCGGGCCCACGTGCTGCTCCGTGTGCTGGCGCTCATGCGTCCTGGCCGGCTCGGCCGCTGCTTGTTTCAAGGGAAATCACGACTTTGAGGATCCCTCAGATTCCCACGGGAGGGAGAACCCGCTTTGTTCCAAATTTGACCCGCTGGTCTACAAATAGACTTTCAAACGATCGGCGATAGAGATAAACCACATCGTTGATTGTTTATATCTAGACGATGTTGAAAACTGCCTTCCTCAGCTAAAGGTTGTGAAAATATAGGCAGCTTCAAGATGCAATTTGAATTATTTTACCCCCAAGGCCGATCTCATAGTCTTAAAGCAAGCTTTAAAAAAAAAAAGGCATTTTACCTCCCTGTCAAGAAAGAGTTTATTGTCAGAACTATATTAATAAAGTGTAATCAGCGTTCTGTGAATGAGAAATTACAAGCCTGCATGTGCTTATATTTTCAGTTTAATTACTCCTCGATATTAAATAGCTGTGTACATACTGATTCCTCATAAACTTTGATTCTGGAGTAAGACATTGAAGGGAATGCAGACTAGACATTTGCTTCATTTAAATATTTTGATTGAACTATATCGACTGTAAATTGTTCAAGATGAATTTTGGCATTTGTGAAGAATTTATGAATTTCTATGAATAGAAAGAGAAGCATGAGGAATTTCCTTTGCTTCTATTAATAGAGAAAAACTTTGAAGAGTGTGAATTTCTCCTCTCAAACTTGTAATTACCAGTGCTAGTGGAACCTGCTGTTCTTAGTGGTTCTCAGTGTCACATGTTTCTTAGAAAGCAAGTTTTCCATTGCAAACTATATGTGACATAAACATTGACATTTAAGAATGTGTGTGTGTGTGTGTGTGTGTGTGTGTATGAAAAAATGAAAGAAATTCTTCCCAAGGATGGGATATGGTTTTGAGAGGGATTTTTATATATGGAGCTGGACTTGGAGTTAAGAAGACCTAAGTTCAAAATCTGCTTCAGGCTCTTCGGGCACATAAATTAACCTCTCTGAGCTTGTTTTCTCATCTGTTTAAAAAAAAAAAAGGATAGTAATAGCACCTACATTACAGGGTCATTATAAGGATCAAGTGAGATAATGTTAATCTGCAAACTTTAGAGCCCAGTATAGCTGTGAGCTGTTCTGTTTTGAGTCTGGGAAAGGGATAGCAAGAGGTAAGAGATTTGCTCCATGAAAATGTTTGAATCAGATGCTATTATGTCAATTATAGTCATTATTATTAATTAGAGGAAATAGTTTGGTGTAGTGGAAAGAGCATTAGACTGGGCATTTGGAGACATACACTAGTCCAGTATTTGCTAATTGCTTGACTTTATGCAAGTCACTTATTCTCCTTGAGCTTCAGTTTCCACATCTATAAAACTTGAAAGTTGTACAAGATAACTAAAATTTAAAATAAGTTTTACATTGGTGCCAACCTTCTCCCATTCTGACAGGTAACTTCACAGAAACTCAAAGTTGGAAGGGACCACAGAGACCATCTGATACAATCCATACCTTCCTCTCTGCAACATACCCTACAAATGATCATCTTGCTCTAACTTCTCCAATGAGGCCACACAGTATTTCCAAAGTAAGCCCATTCCTTTTTTGGGAAAACTAATTTTAAAGAAATTTTTCCTCAAATTTAATAAGACTATGGAGCCTTAGGCAATAATCTAAAGACCTTCTGGGCACAAGTGGTTGTTTTTGGTGTTTTTTGATCATTGCTTATGGTAAGGGTTTAAGAAGAAAGAGGAAGATTTCACAAGAAACTTCTAGATAAGAAGATATTATCAGAGAACAGGATCAGGATTTCTGGACCATGGGCTCCTGGCCAGGAATGAAGTATTCCTAAAAAAGGCTGTTAAAAATGTATTTGCTTGGGGCAGCTAGGTGCTCAGTGGATAGAGCACTGACCTTAGAGTTAGGAGGACCTGAGTTCAAATATGGCCTCAGACACATAACACTTATAGCTGTGTGACCTTGGGCAAGTCACTTAACCCCATTGCCTAGCCCAAAAAAAATGTATTTGCTGGAATGTTGCAATCCTAATCAGAGAAAACTATCTACCTATGTCTGGTGTACATATATATGAGTAGTGTATATATGTATATATTCACATGCACACACACACATAACAATACTGTACAGAGAGAGAGTAACTACAGTATTGGGCAGCTAGGTGGCATAGTAGATAGAGTGCAGGGCCTGGAGTCAGGAAGACTCATCTTGAGATCAAATATAGCCTCACATATTTACTACGTGACCCTGAGAAAATCATCTAACCTGTTTGCCTCAGTTTCCTTGTCTGTAAAATGAGCTGGAGAAGGAAATGACAAACCGTTCTAGCATCTTTGCCAGGAAAACCCCAGATGGGGTCAAGAAAAGTCAGAAACAACTGAAAAGTGACTAAACAGCTGCAGTGTGGAAGATGATTAACAGTAGACCCTCCTAGAAATCCGCAAGAGACAAAATTCAGGAAAGGAACCAGCAATAAAATACATGGACTCAGATGCATGGCATAAATAAACAATGCTTAGGTATCAAGCAAGGCAGCCTAAAGAATTATAGCAATAGAGTCCAAAATTACCTTTAGGTATCACTGAATGACCTGTGGAAGAGTAAATGTTATTCAGAAGGAGCAGAACAGATTAAAATGAGGGCAAGAGGGAAATCATCTTTGTATATTAAGTAGATAATACTCATGTGAGGAAGCCTAGAACCCAGAAGGGGAGAACATTTGGGTGAAGATCAGTGAAGGCAGAAATTTTAAATCTTAACTCAGACACAATAAGTGAGTGGCAAAAGGCAAATCACCTAACCACTCTGAGCTTTAGTTTCCTCATCTGCAAAATATAGATCACAGTAGCACCCAACTCTCAGAAGTGCTCTGTGGATCAAATAAAATAATGCATGTAAAACACTTTATAGACCTTAAAGCACCCTATAAATGTGAGTTATTACATGGAAGTTACTCCAGGAAAGATGGGACTCTCAAGAAAGTCTGCACATATAAAGAGAAACTTCCAATGAGAAGTAAAATGGGAAATTTCCCAAAGAGGTGGTTGTGGGAGTAAAAGGAATTCTTCAATCAACTTAGATTTAAAGAAAATATACAGAAGTAGATGCATGACCTGGTAACAAAGAAGGAATGCAAAAACATGGTACAGTCTCATAAGAGTAGTATCAGGAATCCAATTCTCAGAGTGAACTGCAGGGAAATCAAAAAACCACAAAGTTTTAAGTGTTTGTTTTGTTTTGGGGGGGGGAGAAAAGAAGAATCAAAGAAGGAATAAGATCCCAGCTGAAGACATTTAGCTCCAAACTAATTATCCCCTTTTCTTTCAGCCAGTTATTATATGGCATGTTCTTCAGCTTCTTGTTGATCATTATCCTTCCTAAAATGTACCCAGAACTGAACACAAGTCAGAATACTAGACCTATTGTCTCCCTAGACCTAGATACTGCCTTTCTTAATGAATCCTAAAATCACAATTGAATGTTTAATAGGTATCTCAAATTCAACATGTCCAAAATAGGCCTCATTATCTTTCCCTTCTAAACATATGCTCCCTCCAAACTCTTCTTTCCATTGAGGTCAGCATCATCCTTCCAAATGCCCAGCTTTCCAAATTTGGGAGTCATCATGTCTTTGAGTTAGAACTGAAAGGGACCGTGGAAACCATCTATCTATTTTATCCCCCTTGTTCTACAGAGAGAGAGGCCCAAGGTCAAACAGACAGTATCAGAGGTAATATTTGAACCCAGGTTCTCTGACAGGAGCCAGTGCTCTTTCCACTGCACTATTTTGAGTCATGTAGTCTCTTCCCTTTTCTATACCATCCTCTACCCAATTCCAAAATAATTATTCTAAATGACTGTGACATTCCCATGCCATAGAAACTTCAATGGTTCCCTGTTGCCTCAAGGATAAAATACAAATCTCATATAATAACAATAATAATAATAATAACTAGCATTCATGTAGTACCTACTATGCACCAGGTACCATACTAAATATTTTACAAATATCTTATTTGATCATCACAACAACTCTTGTGAGGAAACTAAGGCAAACAGAAGTTAAATGATTTGCCCAGGGCCACGCATAGTAAGTGTCTGAGTCTGGATTCAAACTCGGGTCTTCCTGATTCCAGGTCCAGAGCTCCATCTACTGTACCACCTAGCTTCCTGTTTGGCATTAAATTAAATTATTGCCTTTGCTTTTCTGTCACCTTCATTCCCAAGTTCATCCCTCATGTCTCAGGGTACCATCCCTTGAAGAAAAAAGGGAAGAAGGAAGTTCTGAAATACTATCTGTTTGACATTTAAAGACCTTTACATTCTGACTCACCTTCTTTTTCCAGGCTTTTTGCACATTCTTCCCTTTCATGTACTCTTCATTACAGGCAAACTGATGTATTTGCTGTTCCTGGCACTGGCTTTCATGCCTAGAATGCATGCTCTCCTCCCTCATATCTCTTTCAGACAGTTAATCAACAAGCATCTATCAAGTGTACAATCTGTGCTGGGCACTGGGAATACAGAGACAAAACTGTGATAGTCTTTGCTCTCAGGGAGCTTATATTCTAATAAAATGTTCAAAATCCTGCCAGGGGTAGAGGAGGAGGGGCAGCTAGGTGGTGCAGTGGATAGAGCACCAGCCCTGAAGTCAGGAGGACCTGAGTTCAAATCCAGTCTCAGATGAAACATTTGACACTAACTCTGTGACCGTGGGCAAGTCACTTAACCCCAATTGCCTAAAAAAAAATCCTGCCAGGGGCAGCATTCTTTCGTAAACTCTTACCACGGAAGACTTTGCTGAAGCCCCTTAGTTCCAAGATCCTACATCTGGAACTGGAAGGGACTTAAGAGTGTATCTAATTTGGCCCATTTTCCCCCTTCCACAGATGGAGAAACTAAAGTTGGAGAGCTTAAATGATTTGTCCAGAGTCACAGAGGTAAGAAATGGCAAAGCAGGTCCTCTGACTTTGACTCTCCCTCTTCTTCAACTCAGTGTAAAATGGAATAGAAAAATATAAACTAAGCAACTCCCACATGCCACACTGCTGAACACTGAGAATACAAATAGAAAATTGAGATTGTCCCTGCTGTCAAAGAGCTCACATTGTGCTTGGGAAAAACAGCACATATGGAAGAGTTCAGCCACAGGGTCAATGGCAAGACCCAGGTCACATTCTCAGCAGGGAATGGGAGGTCATAAAGAGATCTGGATAGGAAGGATTCAGGGTGGGACCATTGGGAGAAGTAACCCTTCATGGTTCTGGGGCCAAAGCCCTGTGTTGGTTTCTGGATAGAAGAGGCTTTGACTGGGGAGAGAAGAGAGACCATTACAGAGGGTCCTAGTGTTTTCAGTGGACTTCTGCCCACCCATGGCAGCATTTGGGTAGATGGGAGTTGGGCCAAGGTTATACAGGTAATAAGTGACAGAGCTGAGATTTTAATCCAGGTCCTCTGATACCACATATATCACTCTTTCTATTGTACCAGCACCTCACCTGCATTGGATCTCACCTAGTTTTGTTTTTTTTCCCATCCACACAGCTCAAACACTACAGTATAATGTACTTAATTTCATTTCTATCCTGTTGTCATACATGTTATGTGACATTTACTAATTGTATGTCCCTGGGCAAGTCACGCAACTTCTCTCAACCTCAGTTTCCTCATCTGTAAAGTGGAGATAATAATAGCATCTACCTTACAGGGTTGTGAGGATCAAATGAGATCAAAACACATAGAGAACTTTGCAAACCTTAAAGCTGACATTTATGTAGCACTTACTACTTGCCAGGCACTGGACTAAGTGCTTTACAGTTATAATCGCATTCAATCCTCACAACCCTGACAGGTTGGTTCTGTTATTATCCCCATTTTACAGTTGAAACACCTGAGGCATCCTTGCTCAGGGTCACACAGCTAGCAAGTGTTTGATGATAGATTTTTAACTTAGATCTTCCTGACTTCAGACTTCAGGCTCTATCCACCTCGCCTAGCTGTCCCTCCAGTAGAATGAAACTGTTTAAGGAAGGGACTGTTTTTCATTTAGTGTTTGTATCCCTAACACGTAACACACATTTTTAAGATAGAATCATGGATTCTATCTGAAAAATGATTATTAAATACTTGTTGAAGTGGATATACCAAGGTGTCCTTTTGAACTATGCTTTTGAGCCAGTGTTATAAATTGAGTACTTTACGATGCCTGGATTTGACATACTCTTTAATAATGGTGAACTACTTCCTGGCTAAATTTGCTGTCAGCCTTAAATGTTTCTTTGTGAATACCTAATTGCTTTAGTAGCCATAACTGGTTAATTTTCTTTTCCAACTTTTAAATTTTAATTGATGACTAATATTCAGAATAATTTCAAACTAGAAAATATCAGCCCAGCTTCTGTTACTAGAAGCACACCAGCATTTTCTATAAGACTGGTATTTTCTATATTATCTAATAACTAAGATTTTAGGGCAAGTCAGAGCTAATCTTAATATCAATGTACAGGCAAACATTGACTACAATCTCTTTGTAGATTTCAGTAATTGCCACATCCTAGTTTAAGAAAGTAC